ACATTTTCTTGTGAAATGCAAGTACAGATAGATGAGGGGAGGAAGACCCCCACTAAACCGAGTAGCCCAGGAGGGCTTAGAGAGAATGTCAACCTATTATTTGAGATGGTGGAAAGACTTATTACTGCACAGTAGGCCTGGGAGGAAAGGAGGGAGATACCCGACCCTTTTCTGTTGCCACAGGTTGAGCCACCCCTGCAGGAGGAAGATCCTGAGCCACCCCAATATGACCCTGCTCCTCCACCGTACCACCCGGTACCACCTCAGTATGATTGGGTGCCCCAGCCACCACGTCACCCGGCACCACCAAAATATAATGCGGTGCCTCAATCGTATCATCAAGTACCACTGCAGGGCTATCCAGTCCATCCTCGGCCTAGCCCAATCCCTCATCCACGGGACCCAACTCCTCTCATGATGGACCCAGGCTACATAGAAAGGTATAAAAGACTAAATCTTTCTATTTTTGCAGGGAGATCCTCATTGGAAGAGGCCGAGCTCTGGTTATCTAAGACAGAGAAGGCCTTCAAAATCCTCGGGGTGATCCCTGAACAGAAGGTCATCCTTACTACCTAGATGCTAGTGGGAGAAGCAGACTGTTGGTGGCAACTCAAGCAGGCCACCCTGCCATTTCCAGTCACTTAGGAACAGTTCCTGATGGTCTTTCATGCAGGGTACCTTCTAGAGCATCTCTGACATCTGAAGGAGATGGAGTTTGCACACTTGGTTCAGGGGGACATGACTGTATCAGAATATGCTCGCAAGTTCCTAAAATTGGGTCGATATTCTCTTGAGAGCATGATGGACGAAGGAAGAAGGCTAGAAGATTCGAGTGAGGTCTCCGTCATGAGATCAGGCAGCAGTTGTTTGTGCTCGAACTCAACACTTATTCGGCTGTTCTGGCCAAGGCACAGTTAGCGGAGAGGAGCCTTCGCACATTCCCTTAAGTAGCAGGAACCTCAGGCCCTCAGCTACATACTGCAGATCAGCACCTACTGCACCTGTTCAATAGAACAAGAGACCCAGACCGATGACTCAGGCTCCCCCTCAGGTTCCAGCAGCAGGACGTCGCAAGATCTGTCAGCATTGTAGCAATGATCATGGGGACCGACCCTGCTATCGTCTCAACAATATATGCTTCATATGTGGTAGTGTCCAACATTATGCGAGGGAGTGCCCGAGGAACCAGAACCAGGTCAGACCTCCTGTCTAGGGCAGAGCTTACAATCTCACACAGTATGATGCAAAAGTCAACCTGGACGTGGTATATGGTAAATTCAAGAAAGAGATTTGTATTCAAGAGATGCTGGTAGTCCGAAACTTTCTAGATATGTTTCCGGATAAACTACATGAACTGTCAGTAAATAGAGAAGTCAAATTTACTATAGACCTTTAGCTAGGCACCTAGCCTATTTCAGTTGCTCCTTATCACGTGAGCCATGTTGAGATAGAGGAACTGAGGAAATAGATCACTAAACTGCAAGATAGTGGATTCATCCGACATAGTGTGTCCCCTTGGAGTGCCGGAGTCACATTTGCAAGAAAGATTGATGGGGTGTTAAGGTTATGTATTGATTACAGATGTCTGAACAGAGTCACGATCAAGAACAAGTATCCCTTCCCTAGGATTGACAACTTATTTGATCAGTTGCAGGGTACCCAAGTCTTCTCCAAAATAGACATGCGTTCAGGTT